CGGGCAGCCGAGATCAAGCATGGGCGTGCTGCCATGATGGCTGCACTTGGGGCAGTGGTGCAACACTACGTGAAGTTCCCAGGCTTTGAGTCCGTGCCCAGTGGCTTGGCCGCTGCTGTCACACCACCCGGGAGCTATGGCTTCATTGCTTTGTTTGCGGTGTCTGGCGCGCTGGAGCTTGGCCTTTGGACCGAGAGCGACGACAAGGAGCCTGGAAACTTCGGTGACCCAGTGGGATTCAACCAGTACACTCAAGAAATGAGGGAGACTCAGCTTGCACGAAGATGCACCACCTGAACCTTTTGAGAAACTATACTGTCTATATTTGTCTATACAGTATCTGCCTTGGCAAGCCTCGATATCAACCTTGCAATTGATCAGTGTCTCCTCGACTCAGTTCCTGTGTGCCTACTAAGGAGCGAGAGCTCAACAACGGCCGCTTTGCAATGTTTGCAGCGCTCGGTATCATTTCTGCAGAGCTGTACACTGGCAAGGATGCCATTGAGCAGTTCGGGCTGTAGATTTGCTTAGACTTTAGGACGACCGCCGCAATGAGCCACCCGAAGTGACCTGATTCCCTGAACTTCGTTAGAGCCAACGAGAGACTATCGTAGCTGGTCCAACATTCATTCATCCATTCATTCCGGGTGGTTGCAATATGCTTGTAAGACTTGTAAGTGTCTTCGATCCGCTTCAGCACAACGGTCTTTTGAAGACCATCTCCAAGCGCGGGGCAGAAAATTGGGAAATGCCCTTCAAGATGATTCAAGATCATTCAAATGAGCTTGTGATCGGCCTGTCGCCGAGCTTGGTTGGTTCCACTTCCAAGCAAGAGAGAGGCAGCACGAGGATCGGGCTTTCCTGGAAGAAGGAACATAGACCAAACCCATTGGTTGGATGTCTTCCTTTTCGACTTTGGGTCCCGGCTGATCCTGCAGACTCTCGCGCTCAAAAACCACCTGGCAGGTGACGCGGTGCATCTACCCGGAGGAAGACGATGCAGTGCTGGAGCCGATGGGCCTAGCTGGTCGCGGTGGGTTTTGGGAGGGTCGGCTTGAAAGGTTGGGTTGATGTGGCTTAGCTGCGGCCCCAAGAACGGCCGCAGCTTGCACGTGGCCTTTCGGTGCAATCCAATCATATCTAATCCATTGGTGAAGCAATGGGTTTCAGGGCTTAGGGTTTGGAGAGTTGAGATATTCAATCCATTTCATTTGTGCAGTTCCGGACATTGAGTTCCAGGGGTTCGATTGATACGGCCCAGCTGCCAAAGAGTCTCCCTACGGTCTACTCGGCGCTCAGCAGCTGGTGGAAGTCTCCGTACGGATCCCTGCCGAAACTGGCTCTACCTTGCAATCAGAGAGGCTTTGCCAAAAGCTGTACTCCTAGGCCTTATGAAATTGAGTACAGTATCATGTATCACAACATGATTTCCAGGAGCCGGAGATCACGTGACAAGTCAGAAGGACCAGCCGTTCACCTTCAAACCAGGATTCATGGAACGACACAGCCGGTCCAGGCTTTCCTGCCAAAAATCCTTCCCAATACTCTTGCCCCGTGATGCCAACTGTCTCCGGTCATATCCGCCCATAGGCAACATGGTAGAACATCCAGCAAGAATCACATCACGTCGAGGTTGCCCTCCTTGAGTCTGTTTTTCCATGCCGACCCGATGAAGCAGAAACCACGCCGACCCGACCGGCGGTTTTCCGCCCGCCGAAACCGGGGAAGTTCATCGGGAGGTTGGTACCGTTGATGCGAGGCGAGGCAAACCGGTCTCGGATTGGTTGACATGACATGAACTTCCATGTTGATGCACGTTCCGAGACTTGGGATGGACTGACTTGAAATCTTTTGATCCGTTCATCGCCTCCTTTGGGACGGGTCGGCACGGGTCGGCACGGGGTTCTCATTGTCTCGGGGCTCACCTTTTGGGAGCTTCTAGAGGTGCCTTTCTCCTGCTGCCCAGGCACCTCTCTGAGGAAGGCCACCAGATTGAGCCACGTCACTGGGCACGAAGCCATGACTGGTAGGCCGAGGACCGGGTCGCTGAGGAAGCGAGCTTGTGGGGACTCAAAGCCATTCCTTTGGAACTGCTGGCGTAAGATCATCTTGACTAAACCCCTACCTCTAAACACCTGTTAAGCCCGTATGCCTAAGCATACCAAGGGCTACCCAAGTAAGATGTTGGATACAAACACGCCCAAATTCATGGGTCCAGATGATCATGGCCCAGCAAAGCGACGCTGCTAGCGGCGCAACCTGAGCTAGCCATGCTGCAATTGGGGGCATATCTCCAACATGCTGGGGGTGTCAAGAGGTCCTTCCTAATGAATGCAGAGTACTTTCATGTGCTTTTCATGTACTTTTATGGCCACGCCCCTTCTCGATGTTTGAAACACGAGAAATGTGGGACGTTGGAACATGAGGTGGTAGTGAGTGCACAGTGTTGGCCAATAGCCATGCGTTCATCTGCTTTTCACGGCTTAAACAGAAGTTTCTGTTCTGTTTGAGGTGAAACTTCCATTCCGCGCCCCGAGGCTTCTACTGCCCGATCCTCCCCATGGTCCTCGTGAATGGCGCCGACGGTGCGGCTCCGGACGACCGGTGGACCCCGAGTTCCGGGACGTGCGCGGCGGTGGCGCAGGTATTGGAACCGGATGGTCCTGCAGCGTCCCGAACTACAACCCGCTTCTCGGTGGGAAGAAACCAGGACGCAGAGCGGCTTTTTCGGGTTTTCGGGGAGTGTCGGCTTCGACCAAACGCACGGCGCGAAGGGTGGAGAAAATTGGACATGCTCAGTCGGTGTGACTCAGCTTGATGGAAGCTTGAGGACATCTTCACTAGCTGGTGCTCAGGAAGGAGCCAAGGAGCCGGGGGTATCCATATTCCGTATTGAACAGGAAGACAGCACTTGGAGCGATCGGAGTTCCCCAACCTTCACGAACCACTCCAGACCATGCCGTGGCCGTGTGGCTGACGCCCACGCTCGCATTGAGGCGTGATTTGATCGCCAACCTCCGGCTGCTGCTGCGTGGGTCAGCTGCTGAAGACTCGCACAGGTCACGGCTTTGCTACTAGTAGCTTCTTGTTCAGGTGATGAAAGAGACAGGTGATCAACACCTTCTAATAATATTGCTTGTGGGGATGTGGGAGGCGTTGATAGCAGTAGTTTTCAAGCTTGGCATGGATGCAAGAATCTTTCCATCTGTGACCCAACACTGCAGAAGGGTGTTTGATGGGTAGCAACCTCCACATAGACCAACACCTTGGGCTGTTGCGTTGGCGATCAACCGTATCGACTGGCATATCCCAAAATCCCAACCAAGAGGGACAAAACATGTTCCCAAGCACCAGTGACTTGTTTACGAAGTCAATGGCACCTGTGACTTGACACTCGACGACCGGGACACCGAGGCATGAGCCTGTGGCCATGACACCCTGGTACCGGGGCTTCAAGGGGACGGTCGGGAACCCCGAAGGCCAAAACACACGAAAACAGGGCAACAGCGGGAAAAGCAGCCGGGGAAGTCCTAGATTCCGTGGAAGATAAGGCTTAGGTATCTTGTTGTCATGTTGCACGACTAAATGGATACAGTTATACTGGTTCATTGGTCAGCCTAGTCTAACTACTCCAATTGCATCTAATTGCAACACATTGTCATATTGTGCCAAGCTTGTGTACAGGAGTTTGTTCCGTGAACCACATTGAATAGCATTTGCACAAATCGAGCCCCCCACTCTTCCGGTGTTACCTTTTCCACAGACTTTTGGGGTGCAGGCACCTTTCCAACTGGTGTTGATGCGACAAACATAGCATGCAACCTCAACATGGACCCCATTCAAGACATTTCAAGATCCCAAAACGATTCCTCTATAAACCTGTGGTGATTTCAGGTGACCTCGGGTCCTTGGTGGGGCGAAGATCTCACCGATTTCGGAATCAGAAGCCAAAGGGTGACCCAGAAAGAAAACATCAAAGCGCCCCGATGCGTCAGCAAAGCCAAGGTGGGTTCCGGGTTCCGCTGACCCAAACACCCTTTCTGTCACAATTGTTTGGAGTGAGCGGTCCCACCCACCGGGATACTGTACGGAGGTTTGATTGATGTTCCATGTCCATTTTTCCAACATGACTCATGTAGACTCTTGATGAATAACTCCCCCAGACATGGTAAAACCTCTCCATAGCTGGGGTTGAAATATCATCGAGGACATACACCCATCGATGACGCACCCGCTCCGGAAAACACGTCGACCCAACCTTGGCCGAGGTGAAGGCCATCGAGGGTTCGCCTGGAAAGTTTGGGCGACCCAGTGGAGGACCAGTGGGAGACGAACGCGGAAGGACTTGGCGAGAGGACTTGGCGTGCACACCATCCGTTTTCAGAATGACGAGGTGGAAAGACTCGCCCAATCTTGCAGGGTGGATCTATCTATAATCACGAAAGGTAGCCCTTTAGGGGATACCTTGAGTTTGTCTTGCGAAGCAAGTGTTGGGACGTCCGGGTCTAATAATTGATCGCTCAATTCAGACCCCCCCCACCC